CCCGGCGGCTGTTGCGTGCGGGGCCCCGGCCCCGGCCCCGGCCCCGGCGCCGCTTGCTCGGCTTACAAGGAGGCTCCCGCAGCTCCGGAGCAGGGTCCCAGAAGCGGCTGCGAAGGAGGCTCCGGTTTCTCTGTCCGAGCCCGGCCCTCCGGCCCTCCCCGCGAGGACTGAGGGGTCTCCTGGGCGGCCGTGGGCTGCGGGTGTGTTGGGACCAGGGCCTGGCTCCCCCGCGGCTGCGAGGCAGGACCCGCGCGCTGGCAAGCGGCTGCGTTGCGGCTCCTGGGCGCTGCGGCACAAAACAGTGAGTAACGCGGAGATGGCGTTTTGGCCCCTTTCACAGATGTCCTGTATTTCTTTACCTGTGCAGGGACTGGATCCTGTCCCCGTGCTTAGGATGCCTCCCAGGATCAGGAGGCTTGCACTGTATGCCCTCTCACTCGCCGTGCTCGCATGCCTCGCGTACCTAAAGAAGGAGACCAAGACCCTGGTGTCTCCGGCCAGCCGCATGCCGGACGCCCCCAACGCCAGGCGCGTGTTTTGGGCCGCGGGGCAGACGGGACCCAGCCGGTGCTCACCAAACCTGGCCGTTGCCAACTCCTCCCGGGCTCTCCCGGAGCTGCACCGCACCTTCCTGATGTACAGGCACTGCAGGAACTTCCCAACGCTGCTGAGGCCCACGCGGTGCAGCCAAGAGACCTTCTTGCTGCTGGCGATCAAATCTCCCCCCATCAACGTGGACCGCCGGATTGCCATCCGCAACACGTGGGGGAAGGAAGTGACCGTCAGCAGCAAGCTGGTCAGGCTGGTGTTCCTGCTCGGGCGGGCCGAGGCCAACACCCAGGCTCACTCCCTCCGCCAGCTGCTGGCTTACGAGAGCCAGGAGTTTGACGACGTGCTCCAGTGGGATTTCGCCGACAACTTCTTCAACCTGACGCTGAAGGAGCTGCACTTCCTCCGCTGGTTCGTGGCCGACTGCCCGCACGCCAAGTTTGTGCTGAAAGGCGACGACGACGTCTTTGTCAACACTTACAACATCGTCGAGTTCCTCGCGGAGCTGGACTTTGAGCAGGACCTCTTTGTCGGAGACGTGATACACCAGGCCCGTCCCATCAGAGACACCAGGGTCAAGTATTTTATCCCGGAGGCGATGTACAGAAAGCCCCACTATCCTCTCTACGCCGGCGGGGGCGGGTTCGTCATGTCCCGGAGGACGGTGCGGCGACTGCAGCGCGCCGCCGAGGACACGGCACTCTTCCCAATAGATGACGTCTTTGTGGGGATGTGCCTGGCAAAGATGGCCGTGATCCCGGTGAAGCACCCGGGCTTCAAGACCTTTGGGATCCAGAGACCTTTCAATCCCTTTGATCCCTGTTTGTACAAAGAACTGATGATCGTGCACAAACTCACCCCCACCGAGATGTGGATCATGTGGGCGCTGGTAAAGGACGACAGCATTAGGTGTGCTCTCTCGGTGACGCGCGGTTACAGGACCGGCTGAAAACGAGACTGCTGACGCTGAGCGGGAGTGAGATGTTGACTGCGGTGGTAGCGACAGGGTGCTTAAACTGATTAAAAACAAAGCTGTAGTGGAGGATGCTCTTTTGTTTAACAGACTGTAGCGGGATGGTAGGATAACACTGTGCAACATGCCTCTTGCAGCGTCATGTCTAGCTGGGGCACGAGACACGGCACAGCCGAATGCAACACGGGAAAGGGAGGGGTTAGCTCCGGGACTCTCCTGTCCCATCCGAGCAAAAAGTCCCAGTTACCCGGTGGCTGTTAGTGTCTGCACGGGGGGTGGCCTTGGCCAGGAAGTGGGGACTGAGGTTACAATACTGCTCTGGTGGCTGGGCCCGTGAAGGGATGCACTGTCTGGGGCTGTCAGTCTAGCAGACCTCACTAGCACTATGTTCACCTTGGGGGTGGGAGGCAAAGACCACGCACAGGAAAAGATCCAGAAACTCCCTGTTTATGGACCTTGTTGCAGCCCTCACAAGCAGGCTACCCAGCACCAGCCCCCCAGATATCCTGTAAACCCATCTTTGACTTATTTGCACTGGAGTTTCTGCACAAGAACAGCTGACACTGGGGCTGGGAGGAGAAACCAATCTTTGGGAATCACTGTAAATGTTATGGCTTTTTTCTTTTTTTATGGCAATAAGTAATACAGTTTTGAACATGTTTTCTTTCATGGTGGTGGGGAGCTGTTAGCTGTCGGCTACTCCCACCAGAGCTGATGGCTCTGAAGGGAATCAAGCGGACAGCGGAAAGCACGAGAGCCTGCGCCCGCGGGCACTGCTGCTCCGCTAAAGCCTCGCGCCCCGGGAAGGGCCAGAGGGAGGTGGGGTATAAAAGCCTGGGCAGGCTCTGCTGCCTCGAGGCTATCGAAGAGCAAGACCAGTACTCTGCGGCGGTCGTGTAGTGTCTCTCGGCTTCCAGTTCTGTGGAAAACCAAGTTGCTTCCTGCAGCAGGGCAGGGCTGGGGCTGAGAGGCTGCATTAAAGGCTTAGTACGAGGCACGTATGTGCCGGGCTCCGTATTGTGACTTTCCACGGCCAGGCAGTGGTGGCGATGAGTGCTGTCACTGAGGTTTGCACAGCGCTTGGAGGATCTGTTGGGGAGCTGAGCCACAGCAGGTTGAGGGCTGTCCTTGGGAAGACCGGAGCGGGGTGGGGTTGACACAGCTGGGATCAGAAGCAAGGTTTCTGCCTTTCCCTCTGTTTCAGGGACAACTGTTCAGGCGACAGCTAGTTCAAAGGGTTTTCATGATTTGATGGGCTCCTGCATGTCACTGCTGCTCTTTCCCTTGCTGCTGTCAGTCCCACTGCTGTGGGCCACAGCCCCTCCTTAGTCACAGCTGCCATTTGGAGGCCAGCTATGTTTTGCATCTGCTCTAGAGACGAGGGCTTGTGTAACATGAACCGTTACGCTTAATGCTTCTGTATTTGTAATCAAGGCATGAGCTGAGGTGGGGAGGCTTAATGCTTGCTTTGGGGAAGGTAACTTATTACCAGACCTGGTGACTTTCTGTGCATGCTTCCACACTTGCAGTTTGTTCTAGCCTAGAGATGTGGGTGTCTGTCTCTTCACAACAGGTGGAGCAGCTCCAGTACTGTTGTTAAAACTGCTGCGTGGTGTTGTTCCACCAGCCCAGGCCTAGTGCAGGCCTAATTGCCTCTCCCAGCTGTCTGATCAACTGAATTAGGCAGCAGTAAGGTGTACACAAGAGGTGGCTTTGTCTCATCCATGAGGGATCTTCCAGCCCTCCGTGCCAAACTGAATGCAATCGAAGCTGTTTACCAAGAGGCTGGGAGACTGCTAGAGCAAAACCCAGCTGCAAGGATTCCCCTTTCTCTAAATATCTTGAAGTCTTTTGAAAGTATCCTTAGCTTCCATGTATATTTGATTATGGCTGCTCCTAGCACGGCAATTCAATTGCTGGGTGAAAAAGTCAGTTTTCCTTTGCAACTGAGTTTTGCCTTTTGGGGGGTGCGCACACACTGCCTGGGCAGCAAGCGCAGGGAGAGTGTACCGAGCAGACGCTGGTTATTGTGGGAGGCCTTTTCTCAGAAAGGGACTGAGGTTCTGCTTTCCAGCAGGATGCAGAGGAGAAGGCTGGTCACTGTCTGACAGCAGTCTTCCACCCAGCAGCCTAGGACAAAGGGCTTTACCTGCACCCTGGCAGGCAGGAGACAACTGCTCCCAATCACAGGCCAATTCAGCAAGGTCTGGACCTGCTGTTGCAGACAGTAACTGTGATGGCCTCTGCTAACTAAACTGCAGCTGCTGAGTTGTTCGCATGCTGTGGTTGGAGTGGCTTGGCCCTTGGTTGCATATGGCTCTGCAAGCAGCTGTGTGAACATCTGCAAGTGATTCTGCCCATAATCCTCCACCCTAGAGCTGTGGTCAGGGACCATTACGTGCTACCACGACTAACTAAGGAGCAGTAAACTAATTTCCTTCTAACTAAGCACGATGTGCTAGGACAGCATAGGCTGCAATCGTTGCCTCCTTTGTGTCCATTCTGAATGTGCAAATCTAGTGTTCACCCTCCCCAGATGGATACGGTAGAGTGGTGAACTTTTTTTTGTAACGTTCTTTTTTCTTTCTACACAGAACAAGTATGTGGATTCACACACAGCCCATTGTGTAAGTAAGGAAAGCTTGTATTTGACCAACTCATGATGGTTATAAGTAGCCTCAGATTAAAGTAAACACAATGAGCGCAAAATAATTTGAAGTGTAGAAAACCTTCAGTTACCTATTGTTGTATGGGGATGGGACAGAGTGTAGAAAGGTAAGCAGAGCTGAGGGGTGTCCTGGAGGACCAAAGAATTCTCGATATCTAAGTACAGATGGCAGAAACATGTGGAAGCAGCACCCCGTGTCTGCAGACCGTGGACAGAATCCACTGGTGTAGTCTTTGGACAGTGTCATGACCCCTGGGAGAAGGGGCCTCTACTGGTCCTGGACAATGTGGCACTTGGCAGAGGGGTAAAATATCACCCACTGATGCAGGGAAGTGAGTTGCTGAAAAGCGGTTACTGTGGAATGATGGATTAGACTTATGCTGCGTTTATTAGGTCAACATTAAAATATCAAAACCACAAGAGAATTTGGGGAAACAAGATCATACAGAAACACAAAGTCAGCAGAAGCTACAGTAAGGTATGACTGTAGTAAAACGTTCACATGAAGTTCCAGCATCCTGGTCTGTAGTGTAACCGCTGCTGCCAGAGGAGAAAATATGATTTTCCTGCTGTTTGGGTTGCTGGAAAGCTCCCAGTCCTGAATGCAGCCTTCTGCTGTCAGATACTGCACAATGGCTGTAGCTGTTTGTGGGACCTCTGCCTTCAAATGCTTCTTTATTAAGCAGGCGATTGCCACAAGCTTTCGATTTTTAGGTAGTGCGGGTCAGCAACAAGCTTTCCTTTGCTAACAGCTGCTTCTCTGTGAATCACAAGTATTGCATCTGCCTAGTAGTATACTGTAAATCTGCGTGCACACCACCGCAGTTGTATTCTCCTGAGGAGTGGCATTCCCTTGGCTATAATTAAGGGCAGTTTAGACTTCAAGCCTCTTAATAAAAAAAAGTCAAGATACTGAAGGGGAAAGAGTTCTGCTATGATTTGTCAGAGTCTAGATAACTAGAAAACCAGGATTTAAAACAAGTGAGAAAGTGTCTATTTGGGTAACCACTCTGGAAATGAAATGCCTCTTGTGGAGCTCAGGTATTTAATGATGAGATTTTACAGGCTAAAAGTACTTAAATTTAAGCTACATTTTTGGCTGAAATCTGCAATTAATAACCTTAATAAGTGGGCAGTCCCACTGTCTAAGTCACCTGAATCAGGCCCTCACATTCACAGATTCAAGCACCCAGCAACATACTACTTTGAAAGGCAAATTTCACATTTGCACAGTGGAACACTTGAATAAAAATAGATTATCTGTGCCCATAATTAACAAGATAAATTACAAAATGGAAACTTCAACTAGCTGGAATTGGCTTGTTTCATAAAGCAAAATCACTGGAAACAGCCTGCCCCACCACTGCTAAATATAAAACAGAGAACCCCTCTCTTCATTATCTAACATCTAGTTTAAAGCATGAGAAGTTTGGGATGCCTGAATCCGCAGGACATCATCCAGTACTCCAAGGTGACACTTGCTTTTTTTCAGTCCTCCCTCAGATAAGGCTCATCATTTTTGCTGCTTTCTGAGAGTTGCGATCCTTCCTCTCCCTTCATTTTAATGAGCTCCTCTGTTTGCACTTCAGCTAATTTGGACTCTGCCTTCTGTGATAGCTGCCGTACTTCTTGTACATGTGTTTTCACCAGCTGAATGTGGTTGTAGGCTGTCACAGAAGCTAGATCTGCACCTGAAAGCACAGTAATCTAAATGCATCACTGCTGGAAGAGCTCTTGACACCATCCATTATGGCTGATTAGGCTGGAAATTGAATATCATGTTTATATAGCTTGTGTTTACTAAACTGGATAATTTAAAAGTTAAAATATTTGTTCCTTTCACTGTTGAGGGAGAGGTGGATATGGTAAATACTGTTTGCTTATCTTAGTTCATATTGTGGTATTACTTGGACATTTTCCCCCCTCATTCTCACCAAAGGTTATTTCTGACTAATGACAAGTCAGATCAGGACCTAAGCACTGTTTTCTGAGAAGTCGGGGGACCAAAATACCACAATTTTAATATCTATTTTTAGGCCCATTTGATCTGTTCTGGCTGTAAACTTGTAGGCTCGAGGTGCACAACTGCCCTAGGACAAAACATCCTCCCACTTCATTAGAACAGGCTAACATCCAAGAATATTTTAAAATGGCGCTGAAACATTCAGTTGTCTCACGTAGCAATCTAGTCAGATCAGTGTCACATTGTGGGACTTGTTATTAAAAGCGCCAAGTGCTTCAGCCAAGATAAAGCGCTCTCTGAAGAATCAGATCTAACAACACGCATGTCAGCTGTGCGTATCCCGAGTCAGTCACGACTGCATTTTTTCCCCCATAAAATGCCAGCGGCATATGCCAAGAACTGCCCATTTGACCCAACACGCAAGAACAAACTATCCCCAATCCCCAAATACCTGATTGATACGCAGCCTCCGCTGCCCTCTCTGAAAGCTGCAAGGCAGTCATCCAAAAGCCCTCCAGCTTCAGGTATTCCTGCTGCTTTGTCGTCATCTGTAATGTGCGCGGGGGGAGAAGCATGTGATGCTGCATCACTACCTGAGCTTATGTTTTGGCACGTGTGAAATGAACCATTTCACCAGGGCGAGGGGTGCATGCCACAAGCATTGACAGCAACTCCTTACCTCGGCTCTAGCTCCTATGATCACCTGCCACACCCCATCTACCTCCTGGGAACTCATTTTCCCCAGCAGGGTCGTGTATCGCTGATAGAGGGACACCACCATGTACACGGCCTGCAACACAGAACATGCGCAGAGAACTCTTTGCCGGCAGCGCTTACAGGCGGGCGTACGCCACGTGCACGGCTGCAGACTAGCTTTTGCCGCTCTCTTGGGACCAGTGCTGGAAAAAGGAACCCATCTCGCGTGTCCCCGTGTTTGAATCCCTCGCAGCACGGCTCGATCCGTCTGTTGGCGACCAAAACGCGTTGCAGCGAGGGTTCGGCGCCCCTCGGACGCATCTCGGCACCTCCCGCTCCAGCAGCGAAGCGCCAGGAAGCCGTGAGGAGCGCGTCGCTGCAAACCCCAGGAGGAAACTGCCTGCCCTTACCTTGGTGTACTCCGTCAGCGCTTCGATGAGCGCGTGGGTGGCCTGCGAGAGCAGCGTGGACGTGCTGTCGGTCACCGCGGACACTGCCCGGCGCACCAGGGCCTCGCTGCTGAGCGCAGCCGGGTCACGCTGCTGGGGAAACGCCAGACGTCACGGCTCACCCCGCGGACGCGGACCGGGCGGCATCGCCCCGCTCGGCTCGGCCCCACAGAGGAGCCGTCCGGGGGGTTCGGCTGCGGTGAGTGCGCGCGAGCCCGGGGGCAGGGGGCTGGAGGGCAGCGACACGCGGGGTCCAGCGGGGGGGGCCGGATCCGGGCTCTGG